AATGACAATTGTTTACACTACACTTCACTTATTTCACTGTATTATTTTCACTTTTTAATCTTATACTGTGTACTTTACTCTCACTATTCACTATAGTTTAAAACTATTCTAATCTATTCACAAATATGTTTGCATATTTGATTCTATTGAGCCATATTCTTAAACATACATTTTAATCTAATAAATCTCTCTGTGGTTTTACACTCTCATTATCAGTGGCATATTATCAGTGGGATTTTGCTCCATGTCTACTCTCATTCTCAGGAATAAAACTGTGAACACAGTAAGGCAAATGGTCAACATTTACACTTCTATAGTGGTCAGTGATTTATTACTTTTTATTATCTAAAGATATTATTGTCAGGCAGTTTGGGATGAATGTACATCATTAATCAAATTAGTATTATCCTTACAAGAGCTAATCTATTTGAGCATGTTTGGGGTTGGGGTCAGTAATTCTACAATGGTGTTTGTGCTGGAAACTTCTCAATATCTAAATATCTACTATTGTGTTTTTGTGCTATACACAAATACATCAAAATGCTTTTAAATGCTTTTGAATCTCTGTTGGTGCTAATCTATCTCATTGATCTAGGCATTAATCTAGGCTACACTCATATGGACTTTTTGCATAGTCAACATTCACAGATGTTTGAACACAAGTGAATTTGGCAAGTATCTAATAAAACTGTGCATAAACTGTAATTAACTTTATTTACTTTTGAAGTAAATGTTTGTGAAATGGTCCCTTTACCATTTGATATTAGCACTGGCTAAGAATATTCTCTATTTTTGAAAGCATCTATGGTTGATGCATTTATCTATTCCTATTTTTACTCTATTTTTTAACTCAAAAGCTCGGCTGCAGCTTGAGCAAAGGCATATTTCTAATTTGTGACTTCTGTCACTTTTAATATCTCTAAAATACTCTGATTCTAATATTATAGCTGATCTATCAAAAGGATAACATTGTAGGGTACTATTTTAACTCTTATGTGGAAATGTGTTTATGAAAAACAAAGGAAGTCAAATTCTACTCTTTTACTACTATTTAACATCTACTAAAACGCTACAATACTTATACTTTATCATTTTCAAAGTTTTTGTCTGTCAGATGTCTGAATACTTAACATGTATATTGCATTTGTCACAGTTTCTGGTTGTAGCAAGAGCATCGGCAATAGACGTTTTCATTGGCTGGTTCTTGTTCTGCAAATGGCTGTGTCCAATAGATCATCAGATGTCCAGAAGCTAGGGACAAACAAAAACAAAAGAAGAATCATGAGTATCTCTCTCATTTAGCACTCATCAATGTATGATTTCAAAAATATAAACATCACTCCCCAGTTTTCTCTCTCTCAGGTCCTCAGGTCCTCAGGGTCCCCTGAGGGTGAGTCTCAGTCGTCATCAGGTCAGGTCATAGAGAGAGATGTCATCTTGGACATCAGTAGGGTCCAAGCCATAGTTTTGGTCTCCAGATGCACATCAGGATCTCCAGATACAGTCTTTTCAGTTGAAGCACATCAGGTCATTTGCGATGCACTTCTGGTCAATGGTGCAGTGTCTCAGTTCCTGTACACAGCTTGTAATGCAATAGTTACTTTCTATGGTTAAGTCACTTTGATTCTACTTTAACACAATTTCTATTCATGCTGTTGCTAATGTCTCTCAGACAAAAAGCAAGCGCAATTTCAGTTTACTTCTCTAATTTGTGTTTTTATCAGATCTAATTCTAATCAATGTAATTACTTCACACAGTACAAAATCAACAAATCAAAAGTGTCAGGACAGAGGTCAATTATGTCCATGACAATATAGAATTCAAATGAACATTTCTGGTCTCAAAAAATACTGATTCAACTAAAGATTCAAGTGATAGACAATTAAAAATATGTGTTTACATTGGAGTAAACTTTTAATGCTTTTTCCTCATGTTCTACTTTTTCATGTATCTATATGTAAATGTGAATGTGTGAGTGTGTGTGTGTATGTGTGCGTGTGTGTGTATGTGAATTTTGGGGTTGTCTCTCCAGACTCCACGAACCACCTGTAGGTCTCAAAGGTCACACTGTGGTGATGTAAACCACGTAGACACACTTTCAACTCCCTCTAGGTCTCTACCTGACGCTCCACCCATCACGTCTCCAGAAACCTCTCTTTCATGGCCCCGGTCTCTCTCACACCCACTCAGTTCTGCAGTGGCGTGGGGAGGGGCAAGGAGGTGGCATTTTCCTTTGCTCTTAGCTCTGTGACCTGTGGCTGGGTGGGCTTTGCGCTGTCCAGTGTCCAGCAGTGACCCCTGTACAGTGTGTGCTCTTGGTTCTGGAAAACAACCTTATAGTCAAATTAAAAACAACAGAGATTGTGAATGAGATTGTTTTTCTCTCTGAAGTCTAAACAATTTTGAAGCGCTCTCGGCTTTCCCAAGCGCTATGTAAATAAAAGATTACTTATTATCTTACTAATGATGACATTTAAAACCAGAAACTCTCAATATAAAAAACAAGACTCAAATCTCTTAAACCTTCAAACTTTAAAATATGTATTATGTACTTTTGTACTGTGTGATGTTTTTAATCTTGAACATCTTGGGTTTCACTTTATGGACTTTCCCTTTTACACTTATTTATCTCAGCATCTATTCTACTAATTTAAAATAATTGCTGCATTCTTCAAATGCACTCAATAAACTTTTAAAAACATTTTGAATTAACGGACGTAATCAAACTCTGCTCGCTCTGCAGTGAGCAGCAGCTGCAAGGCCAGAGCTATAGACAAAACAAAACTCACAAAACTCACAGCTTTTAGACTGTAAATTGGGTCACAGTTTAACTTAATAATAATACTTTTACAGCTATCCTGTTCTATTCCTAATCCCTCTTTTCTTTTTTACACAAACTCTATAAATCAATCATTCTAATCACTTTTAACACGGATTCTAATTTAAATGTTTTGAAAAACGGCTTTTGTAACTAAAATAAAAACATAAAAACAAACACAACTCACAAAAAGTTAAGAAATAAGCAGCAGATTTAAAAAGAAAAGCAAAGCTTTTTGTACTAATCTTTGGGTTTCAAAAACATACTAATTCAAAACTTCTATTCCCTAATGGTGTTTAAAAACGTTTAACTGTGTCTAACACAATGTTCAAATGGCAAATTTAGCAAATTTAACGGAATAACTACTATGAAAAGCCAAAAATCCTAAAGCAGTAGCTCCCCTTTAAATCAGAGCAGCAGCTCAGCAGCAGCGAGGGCGGGGGGGTTCCTTTCACACAGACGCGCACACACAGGCAGAAAGACACAGAAGAAGAACTTTCAAGATTAATTTTTTAAGCAAATATAACTGATGTTGTAGTTTAAACTTTTGTCATCCAAGTCTACAAGTGATCACTTTCCACACTAGTAACAAAAGGCACTCTTTAGTGTTTAACGTTTCCCTTTTTATAATTACTTTTAATTCACCATGGTTTCTCTCAAAGGGACTTTAACCCTGAAGCTTCTTCTCAAAGGGACTTTAACCCCGAGGCTTTTCTCAAAGGGACTTTAACCCCGAGACTTTCTCAAAGGGACTTTAACCCCGAGGCTCAAAGGGACTTTAACCCCCGAGACTTTCTCAAAGGGACTTTAACCCCGAGGCTCAAAGGGACTTTAACCCCGAGACTTTCTCAAAGGGACTTTAACCCTGAGGCTCAAAGGGACTTTAACCCCGAGACTTTCTCAAAGGGACTTTAACCCCGAGGCTCAAAGGGACTTTAACCCCGAGACTTTCTCAAAGGGACTTTAACCCCGAGGCTCAAAGGGACTTTAACCCCGAGACTTTCTCAAAGGGACTTTAACCCCGAGACTTTCTCAAAGGGACTTTAACCCCGAGACTTTCTCAAAGGGACTTTAACCCCGAGGCTCAAAGGGACTTTAACCCCGAGACTTTCTCAAAGGGACTTTAACCCCGAGGCTCAAAGGGACTTTAACCCCGAGACTTCTTCAAAATACAATTTAGAGAGTTTGACAGACCCCAAAAAACAGACCAAAATTTAGCTAATATCCAATTATGCAGACTTTACATATTAAAAAAGGTGTCTGCTTACCTTATTCTTGTCAAACCGGTTCCAAGGACTGTCCGAGAGGTCTGCCAACTCTTTTCCGCGTCGGAATATTCAATTTAAAAAACAAAACAGAGAAAGTGAGGGAGCAAGAGCAAGCCCATCCAAAAGCGAGCCCTTTCAGCGTCCGCTGGGATTTCTCCCCTTCCAGATAACGTGCTGTCGCTCCCACACGCCGAAAAAAAGAAACAGAGGAAATTCTCTCAAAACAATCCAGAGAATGGCACAAACCGAGCCGCGCATTCTCCACCAAATCTGTTAGGATTTAAGCAGAGAGAGACGGATCGTGGTGTGCCAAACTCTGGAAGTTTATTTACGTTTCTCTCAAGTTCCACTGTTTTACTCTGTTTCTTTTCCTCAGACAGAATAAAGGCAGTACACAGTTTATATAGTCATTGTCACGTCACACATCGAAAGACATACGTGTCACAAAGAGACAGTCACATCATAGTCATAACATGGAGTCCTTGTAGAGTCCTTGTACAGTCCTGCACGTAGGCCATATTGCTATCTAATACTAATACCAGTTCTAAACATATTTAGGGTGTTTTTACTCACTTTTGTCTCTCCCACGACGTTATTCCTCTCTCCTACAGCGTCCGTTACAGTTATTTGCAAATGGCAAATTATGCAAATTAGGCGATGACGTCATTTAGCGACTTCTAGCGACTTTTGGGACAGCCAATAGCTACTTTCCTTACTGAGGAGTTGGCAACACTGGTGCTTAGCTTAACGTCGGAGTTCACACAGAGAAGAGACGCAGAGAGTAAAAAGTGTGAGTTTCTGCAGTAAATACAGTAATTTCAGGACTGTTTGCCCAAGAGTCCGGGATTTGTTTGTTTTGTGCCCTTTTTTTAAGCGTGTACGGACAGTCATCAGCTCGAGAGCGGATCGGCAGATGAGTATTATTGCTGAAGTTGGTGTTCGCTTCAGTACTTGGCGCACGTAGGTTAAACGTTCGCGGCAATGAACTTTAATTAGGCTAAACCAGCCTGATAAAAGACTCTTGTGCACTCGATCAGGGCACTAGAACTCGCAGAAGTGTGGAGCTGCACATGTAGAGAACTGTGTTCGATGTTTAGCTGGACGTGTGTGAGCTGCAGTGCGGACGGAGAAGACCAGGAGACGAGACCTCGCAGTTGGCGCCATTACCGGAGGACCAGGAGACGGGGCCACTCTGCAGTCGCCATCTTGGAGCACGACATGGCCTTCCTTTCCAGGCAAACGGAGTAGACATAGTAGACCAAATTTGACCATCAAAACCAGGTACATTGGAGTTATATTTTTATTTTGGCTCTTTAATGAGTGATGCGGCCATTGTGTTTTAGGCCTCCACGCTCTCATGCATTGCTCAGGCCTGCAACTTTAGTGTTATAGCTGCAGCATAGAACTATTGTGTGTATTGTGTGAGTGATTGGTGAGTGGGCCCACTTTAGTTATAGAAAATGTTTGAACAGTAATGTAAACATATTTTTTTATTTGAATTTACTAATCCAGTAAATTTACTGTTAATTCATTTACATTTGTTTGGTTATTCCGTATTACTCGTATTATTTAAAGGTGTTGTAGGTTGCATTTAAAGGTGAATAGAGAGATATAGGACTTAAGCAGTGAGTATCTGATTACTATATATTTAGTTTATTGTAGTTTAGAGTTAGAAAATAACTCAGGGGCCCTTACCATATTTCACTTGGTTTAGGTGGGCTACAATAGCACAAATTTAGCCTACGTTTAATCACTTTAATGCAAGGGGTGTCCAAACTGGTCCAGAAAGGGCCGCTGTGGCTGCAGGTTTTCTATCAGACCTAGCAGGAGCAGCGCAGACTCCGCCCATTGCCTCAGGTGAGTTCAGTCTTAACCATGGATCTATTATATTAACTGGATAGGGTATTACTAGCTTGTAGCTGAATAACTCATGTGCTCAGGGGATTCTTGCGGTACTACAGACTGAATTCACGTGGGGTAACCAGAAATTTTCCCCATAGAACTCAATGCATATTAAAACAGCTCGACCTCAGCTGACAGAGAACCTACAGCTTTAATAAAGATAGGATTTTGTGGGGATTTTAGTGTCCCTTGTCATCCTGAACTTTTTTTCTTCTTAAATCCTTCGGTTTTGTTTAAATCCACACTTTACTGCCACAAACTCTGCTCGTCTGGCTCTCGCTCTAATTCCCGCTCTGATGAACTGCTCTGATTGGTCAGAGCGCAGTCAAGCCCTTCTGTGCACGTGCGTGAGACCTGGTGTGAGACCCACACACGCGTGTTTGGCGCAACGCATTATGGGAGATCATCCACTGCGCAGAACCGGGAGGACCAGACAATGCCCAAATACAGGCGAGTTTCCCATAGATCTTTGCGAGTTTCCCATAGATCTTTGCGAGTTTCCCATAGATCTTTGCGAGTTTCAGGCAACGTCCGCTAATCTTTTCAGCCCCCATGCCGTCACAAAGCGCCACTGAGCACAACCATTCATTTGAATAGGGCGCCATCTTCGATCGCCGGGGCTTGGCCTGAAGATTTGAGGAAATGGGCGGAGTCTGCGCTGCTCCTGCTGGGTCTGATAGAAAACCTGCAGCCACACCGGCCCTTTCTGGACCGGTTTGGACACCTCTGCTTTAATGTGATTAATCACAATGACATATTTTGACAGCATCAAATTTAACGTATTTATACTACTATTTGAATTAGCTCTGAGCACTAAAGGGAGGGGCAACAGTAGCTCAGTTGGTAGAGCACTGGTCTTTGGACCTAATGGTAGTGGGTTCGAGCCCACCACGACCTATGTCACCTGCTCCCACTTACAGTATGTCATGTCTGCTGTCATTGTGTCCCTGGGCAAAACACTTAACCCCAAATTTCCTGAAGCCCACGCTGAAAGACCAAGGCAATGTCTACAATCACGGAGAAGCCATCATCCCGCTCTCTGACCTGCAGGAGGATCAGAGAGAGACTGGTGCATTGAGACTTGGATGGCAGCTCTAATTGCCCCGACCCCGACCCCCGACCCAGAAATGGATTAAAGCTGCTCTAACTGACTTTGGGATTTTGAAGCCGCGGACCCGCTGGCCTCTCTCTTTCTGCTCCCCTCCCCGCACCCACGAAGCTATCGCCCCCCACACACACTCACTGTTGGGACGGCGCTAGTGTCTCCCAATATGGATAATACATGGATATGGATTTACACGTGGATGGCGTGACCATAAAACGATAGAACCGGGAAGCGCAGAGGAACGGGACTTTCTTTTGGATGGCTGTTTTGCTAAGTAAGCAGTAACTGGTGATGAAGACACGAAGCTTCAGGTTAGCTCCCCGGCTTGTTGTGCTAACTCAGCTGTCTGTGCTAACGGACCTGTAGGTTCTCACGAAAGTGGGGGCTATTGGTCCGCTGTGATTGGTCACAATTTGCGACCCGAAACACATTCTCTTCCTTGTTTCATCAAAACTCGATCTAAAATATAATGTCACGCCAGCACAAATCTGCGCTAATTATTCTTCAAAAGGACGTATATCCCAATGCACTACATGGACATGGATAGCATTTTCGTAATGAATACGAAAATAAAGTCAGTTAGTGCAGCTTTAATAAAGGGATAGAAAATGACATGACATGACAGTAAAGGGGGTGTATCCTCTTGATTGGGTCTTTGGTTGCTAGGTCGCTGCTATCCCCAAATTTTGCCCCAGGTTCAGACTGCAAGTACTCTTGTTTTTTTGTACATGAATTATACGTTTTTTAACTTCTATTTACTACTGTTTGAGTTGGCTCTAACCAGCTTATTCCCTCCATGTTGGTCAGCCCACTCCTTCAACAGTTGTAGTTGTAAATTACAAATTCCTTTCTACAAGGATAGTCGTTCAAATTAGACTAATAAACACTGACCATGTATCAGATTTTGGAAAAATTGAAGTGATTTAATTTTTATTCCAGTGGGCATTGAGGGCTATTGTTGCACTTGACAAAAGGACAAAGCAGAATCGGGACAGAACATTCCGAGCCTTTATCTTCATATCACTGTTATTACTGTTGCTGTTCATGTTTAAAAACCTGTCAGAAAATATGTGAACTGTTAAAACCAAAGAATTTAATGAATTATATGCTTGGTGTGTTTTTAAACGCTGACAAAAACAGTAGCCTAAAGTTGCGTGGAACTGGTAAATATAATTTTTTGATTTTGATCTTTTCTGTTGGAATGACTCCTGTATAAAATATATGTAGTTTTGGATCAATAAAGCTACAAACAGTAGTTAAAAAAGTGAATCACATAAAGATATGGAAAAGACTGCATACAGATGGCCAATGCTAACCTGCTAGCTCAATGTAGCTCAATAGAGAAGTGCTCGAGGAGGAAGTTTTGAATGTTGAGTGTCCTAGATTATCACCACTGTCCTTTAACTATCTTGTATCGGGCAAGAACAACTCTAATAAAAACAAAAAAAATTGTGGGAAAAAGGGAGGGCCACATTGAGAGAGGGATCCACTCTCACGGAGGGATGGGCTCTAGGACTGAGGCTGTAGATCCAGGAGGGAGGCTGTAGATCCAGGAGGGAGGCTGTAGATCCAGGAGGGAGGCTGTAGATCCAGGAGGGAGGCTGTAGATCCAGGACTGAGGCTGTAGATCCAGGACTCAGGCTGTAGATCCAGAACTCAGGCTGTAGATCCCGGACCGAGGCCAGGTTCAGGGGTCCCATCATAACACCATGAAACAGACCATTAAAGGGTTAAGTGATAATGATCCATGTTTGTTGTATAGAGTAGAGCTGGTCAATATAAGCTTATGAAATTTGCAATTAATTCAAAGTTATATTTCTCCTACTGTGCTTCTCTTATTCTCAGAGCTCATAAAAGAGCAACAATCGTGAAAAATATAGTTCTTTTCCTCAGCAGAGTTGCTCTCAAACGGCCAGTTTACAACCACAGCCAATTAAACTCACTTTTAGCAAGGAGAAGAATGGTTTCTGGCAGTTTAATACTCTGCTCTGTAAATAATTCAGGGACAATCAATGTTTGATGCATCTTCCAAGGTTAGGGTTGAGATTAAACTGAGTTTCAAACACCAATTAGACAATGTCCTTGTAAAGAAGAATTGGAAGTTTAGGATAATGGATAGCAACACAATTTTAGTGATTTGTCTTTATCAGGGCTATTTCATGTGTTTGAGTAATGTTTTTGTTATGTCTCTGAGATGATTTGGAAATCTATCTGCAGACTCAGAAAAAAAAAAAGATTTCAGATTTTGATGTTATTTTGTAACTCGTTCACTTCACTACATTTTAAAGAAGAAATATTTTGTTTTTTCTTCCTGCCGGTGCAGAAGGGCCTGTTATGGTGCTTTCACACCGCCAGACGCTCATTCTCTAGTTTTCAGACGCAGGGGTCTTCAGACCAGAAGTCCTGGCCAGCGGTAGCGCCCGCCGGAAGTGGCGGAAGTAGCGGGCGGACTTTTTGCTTACAGAGTTAAAGCTGCACTAACTGACTTTGGGATTTTGAAGCCGCGGACTCGATGGCCTCTCTCTTTCTGCTCCCCTCCCCGCACCCACGAAGCTATCACCCTCCCACACACACTTACTGTTGGGACGGAGCAAGCGTCTCCCAATATGGATAATTACATGGATATGGATTTGCACGTGGATGGCGTGACCATAGAAAGATAGAACCGGGAAGCGCGGAGGAACAGGACTCTCTTTTGGATGGCTGTCTTGCTGTGTAAGCAGTAACCGGTGACGAAGACACACAAAGCTTCAGGTTTGCTCCGCCGCTTGTGGTGCAAACTCAGCCGTCTATGCTAACGGAGACCTGTAGATTTCTCACGAAAGTGGGGGCTAGTGGTGCGCTGTGATTGGTCACAATCTGCGACCCAAAACACATTCTCTTCCTTTTTTCATCAAAACTCGATCTAAAATATAATGTCACGCCAGCACAAACCTGCGCTACTTTTTCTTCAAAAGGACGTGTATCCCAATGCACTACATGGACATGGATAGCACTTTCGTAATGAATACAAAAATAAAGTCAGTTAGTGCAGCTTTAAGCTAGCGGGCTTTTCTGTAAAATTCTTCTCAAATAATGCAGCTCTGCAGCATCTCTGTGTCAAGAGACCTTCCAGAGACTTTCTATAACAGTAGTATGTGTTCACGGAGGTGCGCCATACGTTTATTTTATTATTAAACGGTATTTCCGCATCTGCGAACACGCTCGAAGCAGTTGTATACAGTCACGGGAGCATGAAAAC